TGGACGAGGAATCCACTTGATAAATGTTCAATCTGCAGACCAAGACAAAATTTTGTTTTTCTGAGATCTATCATCTGAAATTCTTTCTTTAAATAAGTGGCTGCCTTTTCAATTTCGTCCAACATTCCCACAATATTCAGATCATCAACATATACTGAAATAATAGCAAAACCATATATTGACTTGTTAATAAAAATGCATGGACAAATATGATTATTCACATACCTTTCTTTTATCAAGTAGTCGCGAAGGCGATTGTACCACATGCGCCCAGATTGTTTCAATCCATATAAAGATCGTTGTAATTTGATCGAGTTGAAATCTTTCTATGATTTTCATATAAATATCACTATCCAACAATCCATATAAATATGTCATTTCCACGTCCATTAGACGCATATGCAATCTTTCTGTGACTGCTAAATGTATTATGAATCGAAATGTAGTTGCATCCATCACTGGAGAGTATTATTCATTATAATCAATACCAAGTCTCTGTAAGAAACCTTGAGCTACCTGTCGGGCTTTATATCTTATAATTTTATTTTTCTTATTTCATTTTCGTACAAATACCCATTTGTACTCAACAGGCTCTTCACCCTCAGGTGTTTGGACTACAGGTCCAAATACTTCACGTTTAGCTAATGAATTTAGCTCTGCGTGTATTGCTTCTTTCCATTTTGGCTTCAACATTTTCGTTTCTAGGTTCTGGATCCTTATTGTTTATATGAAGAGCAATTGTATATGAGAATATGTTGTCCATGACAACTTCATTTCTATTCCATCTCTTTTTATAAATTATTGAGATCTCACTGATTTTCAGGTACCTTTACGATATTATCAGAGTTAGCTAACTTGACCTCGTCAGGTCCTTGGGCCTCGTCAGGTCCCTTTGCCACATCAAGGGTATGTGTTTTATCAATGACAACTTTATCATTGTTAGCTAACTGGGTCTCTTCAAGAGTACCATTTTCATCATTCATCATGCTCTTTGATATTTACCTCATTATATCACTTTTAGCTAACTGGGTCTATATAAGAGCACCCATTTCATCATATTCGTTTACATGTACCACATTAAGTGTTTCTGCCTCATCAAGGGCTACTTTAGCATTGTTAGCTAATTGGCCTTATCAAGAGCGTGTATTTTATTATGCATTCTTTCTAGTACTTTTCACTTTCGTAGAACAGAATCTTTTGCACCGACTGGTATGTCACGCAAACTTTTGATGCATTTGCAATACTGACAATATGTCCCATCAGAACTTTAATTCTTCCTGACATTTTATCAATTGGCACTCATAATGATATTTCTCTATGTCAATGAGCGTTTGCAACATTTTTGAAAATGATCTTTTGAACTTTTTGTTCATATTTCTTTATACAAGGATCAAATATATAATTTCAAAGTATTCCAAGTAATATCATTTGGCATTTCTGATCTTACCCTTTCTCCCCCTCAAGGTGGGAAAATAATCTTATTTAAATGATAATCAACACATCGTGCAATAAAGAAAACTTATGTCTGGGGATCAATATATTTTATAAGCAAATAATAGAAGAATTTACTGTGAATATAAAATAAATAAACATGCTTTTGGTGATATAATAATATGCATAAGAAAATAAAGTTTTTCTAATATATATTTCTTAATGACAGTGAGACAGATATATTCTATATTACCTTTATTTTGTTACGGAAAATATTTTCAATAATGAAGGATTGTTGGTCTTACTGTCCACAAGACATATATCATTACCTTGAGTTAATGTAATTTTGTGCACCTGCAAACTTCATTTTAACTTTGACATAAAAAATAAAACAGGCTTCATAAAATAGATGATAAAAGGAAGTATAAATAAGCAGTGTGGATATTACTAATCAAAAGATTAGTTACCTCATAAAAGCTGAAATATCCACAAGTATCATATAAAATTCATTTCTATCTTTGTCCTATTTTCTTAGATTGTGACTTAGTAAAGATCAATTAAATGTTTTGAAGCATATGGTAAGAATCAGATAAATACTTTAGAAGTAGATTATGCAACCTTTTCCTCTTCGATGTTACACTGATAATAAGTAATTTCACGTTGATCAAATTTTCATCGACACACCGATCAATTTTACATTAATAACAAGCAACACGTGCTATAAAGGTTGAGGCAAATTCTCCTCCTTTGCTTGTTTCATATTATTGTGATCCCACCTTTAGGGATACAATATGAAATTATAGAGATAACTTCCATGACGTTGGTAGTTAATTCTACCATGACTATACCCACGACCATGAACACCGTGAAATGAGCAGATTTCGCTTTAGAAATCGTTTTCGATCTAGTGGTAATGGTAATATCTCAATAAAAGCTCATTATTTTACTCTGTCACAATGATATCAGCTTTACATAAATCCATGCATTCAACGTGATCAGTGGAGTATCTCTTTATCAATATATGACTTTCAATAACATTTACTTCACATCAAGTATTTCATAAATATACGCCCTTGACGTAATAAATGGATGATATATTATTTTCAACATATACTCATGAGTAATTATTTCTCCACATTATTTCAATATAACTGATTATTAACAAGGCCGAATTATATTCGCCAATAATTTCATAATCCTGCAACCACAGTTGTATCCATTCATACTGAGCTTTTTAGAAAGATCACAGTACTTTGTGATTTTTACCATAAGATAAGTGGGTCTTATACCGTGAGATATTCAATTTTCAAGTTATCATGAATCATTACTTTTGTGCAGTCCTGCAAGGACTTTTGATTTCTCAATTTATTTGTAATCTCAATATCATAAAATGGATTTCATCAAAAATAATTATGCCCACAATATTATCAAGCCTTTGTCATGGGACAAAACATTTCCTAAATTTGAATGAATCATAAAAAACACTCAATAAATTAGTAAACAAAATGTGGTAAAACCTTACCTGAATTAATGAAATTGTAATGATAGTAAAACCAGTCATAGAGCAATAAGACAGAAAAAACTAACTTATTGATTATGTACACATATAGTATATATATGCTTAGTTGATTACTATATTATATAAGTAATCTGTTAATAAGAAAAACGTTTTAATTGATCAAACAATATATGATTCATTAGAGATAACTAAAATATTATGTATTAAAGATCAATATATAAACGAATTGTCTGAGTAAACACCACTTACAATATACGCATATTGATCTATATATATAAATATATATGATAAGGTGGGTCTTTATGTTACCCACTTAGATTACTTTATATATCACATATGAAACGTATACATATATAATTCATGCCCAGTAATAATAACTCTACTTATACATGCTTCATACAATTATATAGACAATGCACTAAACATATTAATAGGGAGTGAATCCTATATATATCTATAACAACTATAACATAAAGTTGGATTTAATATATTTTCGTGGAAGAGAAAAATGGGACTTAAATTCGAAGGCTTAATTTGTCCATTCTGGGAGAGAAGACTACAATGGTTTGGGTCATTAATGGCATATTACTTTTGTCATCATCACCAATTAGACAAGGCTACTAAATTCATGAACAACCCAGTTACCTTTCAACTCTTCTTGACCAATCACTCCATTTCTGTCTTTCTCTCAACTATACATATACATTCCCTCGTAACAATATAATAATATATACATATATCTGTGTGTGCGAGAATAAGAATTGATTCAATATCAACAAATCCTTCAAATTATGAAAATTTGGTGAATCCAATATATAAAGATAAAAGCTCAATTCTTGATACATGTTATCCTAATATATATTATCAATTGTCGTTATTAATGAGAAGTAATTAATACCTAATGGAGTAATGGTAATCCATATTGAAGAAGTTTCATGATCAACCATGGCACTAAGTACCTTTGACCTCTCTTATCTTTATTGTACTTCTGATCTCTGTTGACCTCTCTCATCTCTACTCTATTAGCTATTCTTTGAGGTAAGGAAGAAAATAAAATTTTCTCTATTGTGTTTAGAGAAGCAAACAAACTCAATAATTTAGAAAAATTATTTTAGGGAAAAAAAATTATCAAAATTAATATCACAAGTGAGATATATGAGTTGAAATAAAGAGAGGGAGCGAGGGCTTCTCGTTCAAGTCTCAGTTGGTTAGAGACTCGTACTGATAACGTGTTATGAATATAGAGAAAATATAGAATATTAAGAGATACCCACAATAAAGAGAAGAATATAGAAATGAAGAGAGAGATTTTATTTACTTCTCAAAATCTTTTGTACATAAATATGGCAAAGAACAACCCATATTTATAGCCAAAACTCATGCCTTATTCACCACCCATAGGTCACCATTAACCAAGTGCATTTACCTCTTATTTATTGCACCATTAACCAAATGCATTTATCACTTATTTAGTGCACCATTAATTCAATACTATACCTAATTAGTGGACACCATATATATAACAATTTTTTTATTTTAGGACAAAAAAGGCCAAAGCAGCCTGAACTCTCTATATCCACAATAAGTCAGTTTTGCTCTTTACTAGTTTGAAGCCAAGTTTGTCACTTCCTGTTGGCTTCAAACAGGGGTGGGGAACCAATATGAAACCATCTCCTACCAGAAAGAGAATAGTGAAGATACTACATTAACCAGAAGTAAAATTATGCTAACCAAACCAAGATTATGAATACTTAATCATAGTTTCAGAAAATTATTTATGAAATTATAGAAAGGAGAGTGAATAATTTCATATAAATTATTTATTTTAATTAAGACTTTCTCAATCTTTGCATACTATTTGTTGCTCTCATGCTCCAACTATGATTGGAAATTTGGCTGGCTTGCTCCTATATGCAAATCAGTTCAAATTGCTGGTATCTCCTGAATATCACAGTACAAGTAATTGAAGATAATTTAACAACTGATAAGTTCTGAATGGCATTAAAAGACTGACATAAAAACTGCAGAGATATATGAGCCAATGAAACCCTGAAGGAAAACCCTAAGAGACACTATCATAACAACTCTTCCCCCCTACAACAATTATAGATAGGGGTCATATTAATGCCGATTAGGCTTGTAAAACATTGTTCATAGCAAAAAGAGATAACAAGATAAAATTCCTAAGAAAGGAAACACAAGAAAATTTCAAAAATCTTGCTTAAACTCAACTTGACAACTCTTGGAGCCCTTTGGAAACATCAATACTTTCTTACAAACCTCCCAACTCATCACCGTCAGGGCAAATCGTTAATTTCTTCAGAACCTTTGAATTCATCAAGAAATACCTTGCCATTCGCATCTCATCTCTCTTCCCTCGAAAGAATTCAATTCTAATTTCCTCGAGATGAAGCAACAAACACGAAGGCACATTCTCAGGTGGACTCCAACGGCAGGTTTCATCTTGGAGAAGTCCTTAATCAGAAAAGAAATATTAATAGTACCAGCTCGCATTTAGTTGCTCAAGTAATTTATTTTCCACCAAAACATAGTGGTGTGACCAAAACATTTGTTAGTGCTTTACCGGAAAGATAAGAGTTTCCAATTGTGGCGAGCTCTCAAGAAAATTCAGTAGTATTCCGGATCCAATGTCTAAAGCATAACCAAGCTCCAAATAAGTTAAATGGGGAAAATCTGGCAGTGGATGGCTGCACAACTGAAGGGTCTTCATGCAAAAAGTAAACTACATCAGTAGATATATAATCATTAACATACATCCCAAAAAGGCATAAAAAGAGTTAAGCAAGCTAACCTCTACTGAACCATCAGATAAATGAAGCCTCTGAACTTTAGATATTCCTTCAACAAAGTTTGCTACAGCAAGTTCTTCTACAGGTTGATCACGAACAGGGCTAACTGTCCCCGTCTTGCTGGTTAAAAACTAATGTCCGCTCTTACTAGAGAATTTAAGTTATTCAATAAATAACCTTCAACCAGACAGTCATCATAAGTGAAGGTTTGAAGATTTGGTGTGTTGAGCACAATCTTGCACTTCCAATCAATATTAGTGCTATCACCGTGTATAGTCAAAATCCTGAGAACAGGAGCACAAATATTAAAAACAGTGATGTTCCTCCACAGGCATCCTATTATCCACAAGTCTTCAAGCACAGGGCAGCCGGGAAAAAACCTTTCAACCGATTCATCATCGGAAAATTCAATTGAATCAAGACATAGGATTTTAAGTTTCTGTAGATGAACCAAAGTTGGAACATTGAGAACAAATACGCCACGCAGTTTTAGTACCACCAAAGTATTACAAGTAAAAAGCTCACGAGGTGCCAACTTATGAGAATTCATTAAGACGGTGAGTCTCATTTCACGGACATTACGTGACAGTGCAGCATAAACCCATAAATTGATATGTGAAACATCATAATCTAGAAAACATCTCAGTTGAAATTTCTGCAAATCTGATACATTCAGCATAATAACCCGGTAGACAAAATTTTTGAAGCTTTCTTCGAGTGACTGAAGACTTTGTCTATTTCTATTTTGAGAATGTCCACTATCATCAAACTCAAGAATAGAGATGGACCTCCAGTGATGTGTCCATTTGGTGGACAAGATGCAAGTTGCCACTGCATCTTTCGTTGGAAGGAAGGAGATGATATGCCCAATTACACAGCTTGGTAAAATGCTTATCCTGTCTTCTTCACTTCTCTTGATATTGCTTTCCTTTGAAAGCTTTTGGCATTTCGAAATTGAACCCATAATTTTTGCAATGGTATCAACAAAATAAATACATACGTGAATTGATAAAACAAATTTCTCAACATTTTTCCCCCCTAAATTTCTTGACAGTTTGAAGAGTTTCTACAGTTATAAGCCTAAGAGGGTTTTGGACCCATTGATTTTACACAATGGTTAAGTAACTGGCATGAACATAACATTGATGTATACGTGTGTGTATTTTAATTTCATAGAGTGATTTTGAAATCAGAAACTCCTATTTTCCATAATAGGCTAAAAAGTATACTACTCTCCAGATAAAAATGTGCCGGTGCAGATGTTTTTGTTCTGAAATTTTTCAAAACTCAGGGCAGAATGTGCCAGTATAGTTTCCAAGTACACCATGTACAAGTTTCTGGAATAAAATTTTGGGAACATTTAAAGGTGTATCAGTGCACATGTCACTGTTTTGCTTAAAACGCCAGAAGAACACTTTGAAAATTTGCCCTAAGTTTCTGAAAACATTTTTTTTGACACTTCCAATCAACGTTTGGTATTAATAAAGTTTCATTAAAAATGTTAGAGCTTTAATGTATCCCTCCAAATCCTTACACAATTTTATACCAAACACAAAAAACCATTTCCGTCCATTTCTCTCCAACCAAACTGGGCCTAAAGCTTTGCTTGAACACTACTCAGTTAAATCAATAGTACCCTTGATACTGTTTTATAAAACAAAATTTGCCAATACATGCACTTTGACTATGTGTGACACATTAGACACAGAATTGATGACTTTTGCTTTGTTTGGTAGGAATGAAGGAAAAGGTGTGGAGGGAAGATAGGAAGGAAGAAACTAACATCCTTCATTCGGTAGAGAGGAGACAAGGACAGAAAGGATAATAGGAGGGATGAATCATCCTTCCTCCTTTACTAATTTTCATCCCTCCAAATATAGGCGGAAGAAAGGAGGGAAAACAAGTGGGGCTATTATAGAAGTTTTAAATTACTACTATCATAAATTATACAAAGACAGTAAATTACTACTATCTTAAATTAAAACTCTCTCTTCCCTTCTCTCCTAATGAACACAGTAACTTGTGAGCTTGTTCTCTGCTCTTCCATCCAATCCAACAAAAAGAGGGAAGGACACAATCTCTTCCCTCGGGATGTATCATCCATCCCTTCTTCTCTCCCTTCCATTCAATTTTTTTCTTCCCTACCGAACAAAGCAAAATATGTCTAAAACATAAACTGCATACATTACTAGCCACATAAAAGTACATTGGTTATGTTCCAAATGAAAAGTAAAAAGGATAAAGACACACACTCTATTTATAATTGTATACTAAAACAGAGTTAAAAAATTCATCAATTTTGAGAATTGCTTCTTATACTTTTTGGTTAAAAATAAATAATTGAAAATTATTTTCAGATAACTAAATCAAATTGGAGAAGATCTCGCGTGGAGTTTTACATGCTATTGTTGTGTTTCATAGAACTTCCAAAGGATAGTTGCAAAATGTGAATGAATTAAAGAAAGCTTAGGAAATCTGCCAGGTTTAAGAGAATAACAATTACCTATGCAAAAATCAGCTAGGTTTTAAGAAAAATTAGAGTCACCTGAAGAATGAAGCAATAAGTAACTAATCGAGGATAAGAATACCGGAGTAGCAAAGGTGTGCTTCATCTGCAGTATCGATAAAGGAGAGTGCGATATTTCAAAGCTTTATTGATTTTCTGGTCTCATGCCCACGATTAAACACTTCATTGGAGAAGATCACCAGAGACTATCTGTCAAGACGCTTCAATTTCTCTTCCCTCCTCTCACCCACTTCCACGATTTTTTTTCTCTCTATTTTCTCTTGTTCCAGAATTCTATTCTATGTCTCTTTCTATATTGGAAGTTTGAAACACTCTTCAATTTCTCTGTGCTTCTATTTTTTTAGTGCAATGGTACATTGAAGAAGCTAAGTTTGGCAACCTAGAAATGGTGGTTTCTAAACAAAATTTTCAGTACAATTCCTCAAGGCTATGTTTGATACGGTGGAAAAGAAAACAAAGGATACGAGATAAAAGAAAAGAAAGGAGAGGAGAGGGTAGTGTTAATCATGCTTGGTTGATTAATGAAGGAAGAGAAATGAAAGGAAAATAATCATGTTTTGGGAAGGAAAGAAAATGAAACTATTTTTATGAATTTACTACTATACCATTTTCTATAGATTTTGTCTTTTATAAATAAAAAAAGAGGTAAATTTAGTACTAATAAAGTTTCATTAAAATGCTAGCCTTTCCTTCCATTTTCAAGAGGATAACAAAACCAACTCATCAACCTTTAATGTACCCCAACCACCAAAGGTTGTAGCCTAGTAGTACTTGCTTACCTTCCAAAGTAGAAGGTTGAGAGTTCAAGTCCCTATACGGGTAAAGTGGATGTGTAAGTTTGCTTCTTGCCAGGTAAATAAAATAAAATTTTAGTGAATCCCTCCAAATCATTCCATTCCCTTTTTTTTCCTTCCAAAATTCTATACCGAACACAAAAAATGGTATCCCTCTAATTCCTTTCTTTTCTTTTCCTTCCATGTCCTCCCAACTAATCTGGGCCTAAGGCAACAAGGGGAAAAACAATAATATATATTGGATAAACTGCAAAAAGAACTCCTCAACTTTCATAATTTCATAGATTATTCTTCTTAACTTTTATTTTTGCACATAGCTCCCTTAAAGTATTAAGAAATTATGTAAATCATTTCCTTGTATGCCTTAGGGCGTGTATTATTTATTTGCTTTGTTTTGGGGGGTGTTACTGCACATCAACCCTATTTAACCCACTTTTAAGTATGGACTTCTAGACTTCACATCCACTCTCAAAAATAGATTCTCATAAATTACAATTAATCTAAGTTGAACAACAAAGCACGATCAGATCCCTTCATGTTGCAATTACCATCACACGATTGCATTAGTGATTTTCTTGCTCTGATCATTATCTTACAAATTGCTTTTGAAGGATTCAAACATCGTGTTTTTGAGGTTAATCTCGCAGATCTTCAGAAGGATGAGGATCGAGCCTATAAGAAGATTCTACCGGAGCAAAAGAAAAAATTCAATGCAAAAGCATAAGACCACATTCATGGTCAACGCCAAGGTCTTCCCCACAAGCAAAAAAAAAAAAAAACGAAACACCTGAGGGAATATAGGGCTCCAATGGGGATGACGGATGAGAGGTAGAGATCGCGAAAAATGGAGACGGGTTCAATGAGGGAGAAGACGCAAACGGCAAGGAAGACGAGAGTGGAGCAGAAGGCCATGTGGATAATGATGAGAGAGAATGGGAAAGGGCATTTATAGAGCTTGTGATCGAGGATGTACTTGTTGTAGACAATGACGATGAAACTAAGGAAGATTCAAATAGTCACGTAGGTGTGCTCACCAATTTTTGGGTATGATAACAGTTTTAATTAATCTTTTAAAGGAAGCTCTAAGAGATCAGATAATGAATTATGCTAATAATGCATTGATTAAATGTAAATATGAAACTAGGATTTGTCCTAGCCTACTTTCAGGGGATGGATTTTACTGCAGACAGATTGAGGTTTCGCAAGTGGCAAACATTGATTGAGGCTCATATAGATGTGAAGACAACAGATAACTATACCCTTAAAATGTTCCACATTGCATTTATAAAGAAGATTCAAAATCAGCAGAAGCATACTTGTTATGCTCAGTCCAGCCAAAGTAGAGAGAGAGAGAGAGATTAGGGTTTATTGATGAAAAAGAGAGAGAGACATTAGGGAGCATCCTCTTTTGTCATTTCACATAACCATCTTTTTTTAAATAATGTGTAAAATGTGTATGTAGGATAATTTGGCCAAACTCTAACTTTAATGTGTCAAGTAGGACTTATTTGCACATTTTGAAACTTTGGGGGTGTTTTGTGAACACGTGGAAGTTGATATGCACTGTAAGCATAGTAGAGAGATCCTTTCTGCACTTAACCCTAGATACTTCCATTGTATTTAAAATCTAGTTGCTTAGGTAGTGTGAATTCTGTTGGCAAAAAGGCATCGAAGTCCATTCAATTCTCCCGAACCTATTCTATACTTGATTCAAAAGTTTGCTAAAACCATTATCCATTAACTTACTATCTGTTATGAAAAAAAAAAAAGATCGAATAGGAGTTTATTAGAACAAGAGAAAAAATAAATGACAACAAAAAATAAAATAGCGCACACAAACGAGACAAGGATTTACGTGGTTCGATTATGCCTACATCCACGGGAAGAAGACAGAACAATATTTCACTATGGAAATAAAGAGATACAAGACTAAGTGGCTCACATCCAAAACCCAAATTACATCCAAAACTCTCACACTTTCCTTTTACTGATATTGAGCAAACACACTCATACATGGATGATGTGGAATGAAAGAGCTACATGGCTATTTATAACCAAAAACATCAACTAAGGCTTGCTGATCACGCATGGATAACTGGTACAAAAAACTTTTCAACCACAACTTGGTGATCACGCATACTTGCTGATCACTCATCTTGAAGGACAAGTTGATGATGATATAATGGGTGATAACATGCTGAGTTGGCAATTTGTTTTTGAGCCAGAATATTCAACAAATCTCCACCTTGGCGAAAATTCAAATGAGCCACTGTATCTCTGCTAAACAAACTGTCTTCTCCACAAAGCCCCTAAAGGCAATTTCAACATTTAAGAATACCAAGTCCAAGCAATGCTTGAACTTGAGAGCCGGAATGGACTTTGTCATCATATCCGCCGGATTTTCAGCTGTGCCAATTTTTTTCAATGTAGTAATGCCTTCTGATATGACATTTCGAATAAAATGATATCTGACATTAATGTGTTTGGTTCTCTCGTGATACATTTGATTTTTGGTCAAATATATCACTCTAACTGTCACAATAAATAACAGTTAAGCTCTGTTGCAAACCTAAAACATTAACCAAACCTTTCAACCAAATGGCTTCCTTCACTGCTTCAGTGGCCGTCATATATTCTGCTTCTGTAGTAAAGAAAGCAATTGTAGATTACAAAGTTGTTTTCCAACTAATTGCACAACCTGAGAGAGTAAAGACTTATCCTGTCAGAGATCTTCTTTGATTTAAATCACCAGCATAATCGGAGTCCACAAAACCAACAACCCTACCAAAATCATCACGGCTCTTCTGATAAATTAAGCCAATTTCTGCAGTACCCTTCAAATACCGAAGAATCCACTTCACAGCTAGCCAATGTTCTTTTCCTGGATTATCCATATATCTACTACTACATTGATTGCATGTGAAATTTCAAGGCGAGTGCAAACCATTGCATACATCAAGCTACCAATTGCACTAGCATAAGAAACACATGAGATGTGCTCCTTCTCTTCTTCGGACTGCGGTGATAAAGCTGCAAAAAGGCAAAAATAAACAACAAATGGTGTGCTCACGGGCTTGGAATTCTGCATGTTGAACCGCTCAAGCACTTTCTCAATATAACTCTTTTGTGACAAACTCAACCTGCCAGCCTGACTATCCCTCTGAATTGCCATGCCCAAAATCTTTTTCGCTGCACCAAGATCTTTCATCTTAAATTCAGTATTCAACTGAGATTTTAACTTGTTAATTTCTGACATGTCTTTTGTAGCAATAAGCATGTCATCAACATATAACAACAAGTATACAAAAGAACCATCTAAGAACTTCCGGTAATAGACACAACTGTCATAGCTACTTCTCAAGTAGCCATGTCCAACCATAAAAGTGTCGAACCTCTTGTACCACTGCCTTGGAGATTGTTTCAATTATACAAGGATTTCTTCAACAAACAAACGTGGTATTCCTTTCCCTGAACAACGAACCCCTCTGGCTGATGCATATAAATTTCTTCTTCAAGCTTACCATGTAGAAAAGCTGTTTTGACATCAAATTGCTCAAGCTCTAAGTCAAATAGAGCAACCTGGCAAGCAACACGCGAATAGAGGTGTGTTTCACAACTGGTGAGAATAATTCATTGAAGTCCACACATTCTCTCTGAATATAGCCCTTTGCCACCAAACGTGCTTTGTACCTTGCATCTTCAACACCTGGAGTTCCTTCCTTTTTCTTGAAGACCCATTTACAACCAACAATCTTCTGGCCTTTAGGAGGTTTCACTAACTCCCATGTTTGATTCTTATGCAGAGATTCAATCTCCTCATTCATAGCAACAATTCACTTGGCAGATTCATTTCCTGTAACAGCTTCTTGGTAGGTGGAAGGCTCTTTATCTTCAATATTTTCTGCCACAGACAAAGCATAAGCAACTAAATCTGCATAAGCATACCTCTGAGGTGGTTTAATCTGCCTTTTCTGTCTCCCTATAGCAATATTGTACTGTTGCTCATCTAGTACTTGATCATCCTACACCTCTTCAACATTGGGATGAACTAGAGTGTTGACTTGTTTCTCTAGAGTTTCAAAGTCATGCTCCACCTGCTACTTAACACCCTGAGATTCACTTGTAACAAAAGACTCATTTCTCGGGTGAAGTAAAGCAAACTCATCAAAAATAACATCTCTGCTGGTAATAAACTTAGGTGACTTAGGATCAGGACACCACAACATATATCCCTTCACCCTAGATGCATAGCCAATAAAAATGCATTTCTTGGCTCTAGGCTCAAGTTTTTCTTCATTAACATGAGCACAAGCAAGACATCCAAAAACTCTTAAATTAGAGTAATCAGTAGGAGTACCAGACCATACCTCTTCAGGTGTTTTGCACTCAATAGCAGTCGATGGTGACCTGTTCACCAAATAGCAAGCTGTGTTGACTGCTTCAACCCAAAATCCCTTAGACAACGCAGCATTGAAAAGCATACAACGAGCTCTTTCCAAGAGAGTTCTATTCATGTGTTCTGCTACACCATTCTGTTGTGGAGTCTTTCGAACTGTATGGTATCTGACAATGCCTTTATTTATGCAGAACTCGTCAAACTCTCCTGAGCAAAATTCTAAACCTTTAGCTGTTCTGAGACGTTTGATCTTCGTTCCGGTCTGTTTTTCAACCATGGCCTTCCACTGCTTAAACTTAAGGAACACTTCATGTTTTTGCTTCAAGATATAGATCCAGACTTTCCTAGAGAAGTCATCAATGAAGGTCAACATATATCCAGAATCACCAAGAGAGGGAACTCTAGAAGGTTCCCAAAGATCTGAATGAATGTAATCAACAGTGCCTTTGGACATGTGAACTGCTGTATTGAACTTGAGTCTTTTCTCTTGCCAAAGACATAATGCTCGTAAAAGTCCAACTTTCCCGTCTTCTGTCCACCTAGCAAACCGCGTTTGCTCAATTTTGTCAAACCCCTCTCACTCATATGCCCTAAACGCATATGCAATAGATGGGTAGTTTCTGAATCTTGATCAACTGAAGAAGATATTGATTCAACACCTGTCACAGTACTACCTTGCAAAAAATAAAGATTTTTTCTTTGTTTTCCCTTAAGCATAACAATAGCACCTTTAAAAACTCTCAAAACTCCACATTCAGCTGAAAACTTGCAACCATTAGAGTCAAGAGTACCAAGAGAAATCAAATTCTTTTTCAAATCTGGAACATGCCGAACATCAATTAATGTTCTAACAATACCATCATGCATCTTAATTTAGATTGTACCTATGCCAACAGTCTTATAGGGATTGTCATTCCCCATTAAGATAGTACCACCATCAATAGAATAGTAAGTAGAAAACCAGTCCCTATTAGGACACATATGATAGGAACAACCAGAATCAAGAACCCATTCACTACTAGAGTGACAATCACTGACAGAAACTGAAAGAACATTTTCGACATCCGAGGAACTTTCCTCAGCAACCCCAGCAACATCAGAAGAATTACTAGTGGATTTATCCTTAGATTTCTTTTTATCTTTCTTTTTATTTTTCAATTTTGGACAATTCCACTTAATGTGTCCTTTTTTGTGACAAAAATAACATTCAGTATCTTTATAAAACCTAGATTTAGATCTCGATTTGCCCCTACTACCAGAACCATTTTTCTCACTTCTTCCCCTCACAACCAGATCCTCGGCCTGTTCATCTCCGTTATAACCTAGACACCTTTTTTCTTAACTCTTGAAAGTTCAGTGAGGATTTAACATCCTCTATACTAATGGTGTCTTTTCCATAAAGTAATGTGGTAACAAAATGCTCATAAGAAGGAGGCAAAGAACACAACAAATAAGAGCTTGATCTTCATCATCAATTTTAATATTAGTATTTTTTAAATCCATAATAATAGAATTGAAATTAACAACACGTTCCTTAAGAGGCATATCTTCCTTCATATGAAGGGCGTAAAATCTCTGTTTTAGATAAAGTCTGTTGGTGAGAGACTTCGTCACTTTCCAATTTCAGCCACAACTTTGCTGCCATGTTTTCATCAATAACTTCACGCAGCACCTCATCAGCTAGATTCAGGAGAATCGCACTGTGCGCCTTTTCATCGACCTCATCCTTGTCTTCATTGAACATAGTTGTTGGCAACTTGTCTTTCCCAAACAACACTTTCTTTAGACCTTGTTGAGTCAGTAGAGTCTGCATCTTAATGCGCTAAAGACTGAAACTAATCTTGCAATCAAATTTCTCAATCTCGTATTTGGTCAACATCTCAAAAAACTCCCCAAAAAATTTCTCGGTGAATAGTACCATATTTGTGAACAGTATCTGTACACAATACACGAACCCAAGCTTTGATACCAGTTTGTTATGAAAAAAATGATCGAATAAGAGTTTATAAGAACAAGAAAAAAAAATAAATTATAAGAAAAAATAAAATAGCACACACACAAACGAGATAAGGATTTAAGTGGTTCGGTTATGCCTACGTCCACGGGGAGAAGATTGAACAATATTTTACTATGAAAATAAAGAGATACAAGACTAAGTAGCTTACACACAAAACCTAAATTACACCCAAAACGCTCACTTTCCTTTTACTGATATTGAGCAAACACACTCAAACTTGGATGATGTGGAATGAAAGAGCTACGTGGCTATTTATAGCCAAAAACATCAACCAAGGCTTGCTGATCACGCATGGATGGCTGGTACAAAAAAACTTTTCAACCACAGCTTGGTGATCAGGCCTACTTGCTGATCACTCATCTTGAAAGACAAGTTGACCATGATGTAATGGGTGATAAGATGCTGAGTTGGCAATTTGCTTTTGAGCCAGAATATTCAACACTATCCAACGAAATCAATCCCATTCCGGATATATCAATTAATAAAAAATTAACCACTGAAGCATGATTTCTTATGCGCATATAGGCCTATACTGTTCGGTTTCTCTATTTTAAATCCCTGTTAATGCAATTAACCAAATAGAAGATAATACTGGGTATCACATTTTATGAGTAGAGATTTCCTAATAAAAAATGATCAATTAGTAAACGACAATCTTTGAATTTTGTTAAACCAAACAATGACCAATTATATGATCCAAAATATTTGTTCTTTTGTTAAAAGATCTGCCATAATTACTGTGAGAAAGTGAAGGGGGCTCTATCAGATGCTACTAAAATGCAAATTGTTGATGGCCAAACACTGATTCAAACTCTTTGTTGTGTGATAGATTGGTGAGAATAAGAGCTCTATATTTAGGGCTTGAAATCCAAAGACGAAAATTGATGAATTTTGCGCCTTGTAAATACCTGGTTGTAAACAATCATTTTTGTTGTAGTGAATGCAACCAAAAACAAAAACAATATATCTTGACACAAAATCCCCTCCCAAAAACACAAACAAGAAACCCTAATTCGGCAGAAATTCCAAAATTTAAACAAATATTACGGATACCAACCTTGTGATGAAGATTCAAATAGCTTGATGGAAGTTGATTGTTCTTCAAATTGCGGCAAAAACAATCCCAAAATCGTCCTTGAATCCCCCTTCATGAAGTCGAACGGCTACTATTCAAGAACTCGAATTTCGCCGGTGACGTTGACAGAGAGAGTGTTGTTTGGGTCTTTGTTTTAACGGGAGAGGAAATGTAGGAGGGGAGAGACTGGATTGATAAGGGTGGGGTGGGACTCGTGTGAGAGAGAGGGAAGCTGAAAGGGTATTCAACGGATTTGGCGCTAAAAACCTTTTTTTCTGGGGCGGGAAATATTTTCAGAACAAAATTAAATTTGTTGCAAATACTCCGTGTATTTGATTGAAGATAATAAACTTTTTCATGGAATTAATTTAACCTATTTAATTCAATTTGTAGATCTATATTTTATTCATACAAAAATCAATAATTTATTTTTAATTCTAAATCTAATATTTAAAAAAAAAAAAATCTCATCTAATTAAGAGATTTCTATAAAAGTTATTTTCCAATTCAAAATTAATATTACTCATCAATTGTCCAAACAAACTTACAGTATTTTAGTACCAACCATAATCCTCTTAGATTAGTTAGTTAATTCATTGGCTTGGTTAGTAATTGTGAGAAATTTTTATAAACGAATGAATTTTACTTGGGCCATGAATTGGAAGAATTATAATTATAATCTCGTGTGAGTCAAGGACAATCTCGTGTAATCAATTTATAAAGTACAATTTCTCTTTGTGATATTAACTATTTTACTAAATTGAATGTCTTAATTCGATCTAATACCTTGTGTCAAAATTGAGAAATTGTATGACTAGAATTTTTAGTATTCTTTTATTTATTATAAAAGAAAAAGTTCATAAATCCAATCAAGTTATTCAACAATGAATTTATTTTCGAGCCTTGTAGATATCGCTGGTCATGGCCAAAAGTGAGGAAATGTTATTTATTACTATTATTTTATTTTTTATTTTTTATTTTTTATAGGATATTCGTGCGAAAACTAATTCAATATACAGAGACAGAATAGGCCTCGTAGATTAGAGCACTGGATGGCTACAAACATATTATATGATTATATCTTATTAGCCATTAATAAAAATAAATAAATAAATAAATAAATTTTCAATCAAATGAATTGATTATCTATATAATGACAAATACCGGGTGGGCTTGTTAAAACTTAAAACTAAACCCAACAACATCAATAATAAAAATTATTTATTTATTTTTATTAATAACTAATAGGATATAAGATGCTTATAGTTGAAAGTTCCAATTGTTTTTTGAGGGAAATATTTCCCTAAGAACTCTTTTATGGAAGCGATTCAAGTGGACTAGGCCATGGTAAAAACATATATTGCTGGTGTGAGACAACTAGATTTCATCAAGGGGAGATTTTAAAGCACATTCTCCATCCCCTTGGCAAGATTGGAAAGTCTCTTCTAGCCGTCTCAATATTAATCTTGTTCACAGTTAAACGAGTTCCACATCGGTTGATGAATAGGAAGATACGACTCATACGAGGCTTATATGACGTAAGGGTCAACAACAGGTATGGGGCTTCAAACAAGTCAGCATCATATATATAATCAACACAAAAATCAATTGACTAGAATTTTTTTTGAAAGAACAATAGAAGTGTTGAAGTGACGAAATAATGCATAGCAATCATCAGCAATATCTAAAGAAGAATTAAAATCATATTTTTTGAGCAAATTCTTATAGAACATATTCAAAATGACATGATATACACAGGCACAAAAACCTTATAGATAATTTTGTGGAGGCAGTTCAAGCTTCCCATAATGTTTAAGCCAGAAGGGGCTCCATTGATACTAGTCATTTACATGATTTCAGGAGAAAAAAAAAAAAAAAAAAAAAAAAAAAAATTCCCTATTGCAAGTTCTTAAATTGTTCAAAGCTTATTTCCGATAGGTCCACTGACACAAAAAATGACATCACCCAGTTCTGGTCCTGCCATGGTAGGTTCTGTCACCCTTAAAATGATTCTTACATAATTATGTCAGGATCATCTTCATAGTCATAGTCCGGCTCACTTGAATGCCTGCTCCTCTTTGCATCTCTTGGCCCTGGTCTTCCCTTCCTTGGTTTTCCCCTGCAAAGATACTCATCCATGTGAATAAAAGTGGCTACTTCAACCCAAGGGTTTCGAATCAACAACGAAACTACATTATATTTAATAACTAGATTATGCTTATGGATTCTATTAAGCTTAAAACTTTCATCATTTGACATGGTACTAGATTGTAAGAATGAAAAATTGGAGTACTTACTGTGTGCTTGCTGCTATACCTCCACCATCTCGTCCAACAGCTTGCTCCTCAGCCTGAAATAAGCGCAAGTCCCAGAAAAGTAGAGGAGAAATTCAAACTGCAAGTTAGATATGACCTCCTCTTATGGAGGAGAGCCTTCTGCAAGAAGAGTAAGGCTATTAAGACAGTAGTGTCCAGAAAAGAGCTATGAGCTTTCCTTGTTGACCGCTAATAAGAGATTAATAATTCATTTGACTTTTCACAGATCTCATCTCAATATTATTGTTCTCTCAACCCCTCCCCCACCCCACACCCACACACACACACACAACACGCACATTTTTACATTAAAGTAATGAGCTTGTGTTTATTCAGTATTTCTGAAATGAAAAACTAGAACATTCCCAAATAATTACTTTTTGGATTCAGACGATTTGCAAAGGAAGAACAAAATTAATAAAGGATCCTTGATTTCTGATGGTCAAGTCATCAACTTTCAATTTGCACTAACAAACCCTAAATCACTTGATCAAAATAGCAAAGACTCGAAAACTATTTGTCGTTTTATTTCTAACGACAGTGGAAAACAGAATTAATTCATTATTCAACATCAAGCTGCAAATAAACCAAAACACTAATCCACATCCATCATGGAAGCATGTTGTGCTAGAACAAAAAGGACTTGTTTCATAATACATTTGCGAGCTAATGAAATTCGTGACTTGTGAATTTACTCACATACAATATCCCCCAGGGAAATGAGTATAAAGGCCAGATATCATGTGCCAACCTATCCCTAATTTATATTCAACTTGTCATCAATGGATGTTGCAGAAACCATATTCAATATTTTTTATGTAGACTATCAGCCCTGTGGCACAACATGATGGACAAAGTAAAAATATTGTTGGACTTTAGTTCAGGATTTGCCAGACACTCGCAACATAAATTATGGAAAAACCATTCCACTTAATGTTGAATCTCAAAACAAGCATGGCACGAGGAATGGTTGGAGGAGATGACGATAAAGCGGTCCCCTCAATAGGCTGAATAATTTTAAACATAGTCATTTAAAGAGATGAACGTTTTCACAGTCAGAAAGCTGGTCAATACAGGTATAGTCCTGCATGTTGCTCACTCGATCTGAAGTTCAGGTATTATCTATTTCATAAGAAAAAGGATGCTTGAGAAGTTAAAACAGTGGCAACTGTAGCAAAGTTTCCCTCTGAAGTTGATTATCATTCAGGAGCTCCAAATTATTTTGCAGGAATTATTCGAGATGAAATGTTTACATATTCTACGTCAGAAGGTGCAACTGAGTGCAATAATAACATTACAAGCTAACTGTGGACCGTTACACACGAGCTGGCTTAGCATTTAAGGAGGAGAATAGTCTGAGAACATAGTTGTAATGTGTGTTAAGAGAGCTAATCAGCATCTCTCTCTCTCTACATTGCAACTTTGTGACAAGGAATAAGTTGTTAACAGACACCTCTCTACCACCATGCCCAAGATTTGCACAAAAGTGACCTGAAATTATTTTTCACTCGATATGCTTGTCTTTCCACATCTTCCCTGCTGCTGTATGATGGTTTTAGAAAAGATGATATCATACATCCTCTCCCTTACTGCAACCCCATCACCATCCCGCACACAACATCCCCTCCGCAAAAAGGCAATAAGAAGGTGAACTGTGACCTTCTAATTTTCAAAAGTCATCATTATCCCAAAAATACAACTATTACCCATGCAATCTCATTCAAGGTAATGTCTGGAGCAGTAACAACAAATTTAATGGACATTATCTTAAATCCTGAACAAGTACTCTATGTGAGATAAATTTTGATAAACTCAATCCAGCAATTCACTTTCTCTCGTATAAATTCTAGATTATAACACCTTCACAAAAATAATAATGAAATGATTACTTCTTTGCAAAAAGAACAAAAAGTATAACCACTTCATGAGTGCATGAAAACAACATAGGTATGCAAGGAAAATTCTGGAAGTTCCATACTCTCCTACCAAATGCAGCACAAATGTAAGTAAGGGTTCAGAATGCTTACTGCTGGTGAGGTGACTGAGGATAACGAAAAGAGTCTGTCTTCAGGCTGAAACTTCCGGGATCGCTTTAAGCTGCAGCCACAATATTGAAAAAGTTCCTGTTATTGATAATTGATGGAGATAATAATCCATCAAAAGACAAATCTAGAGTATCTATGATCAAAGTGATTGCTATTAAGACAAATCTAGTTTTAAGATGTCTAACAGCAAAGTGATTGCTATTACTGCATTTATTGGAATAAATTAATCTAAAAGTTATCTTCCAAAATCAAAATTTAAATCAGTGATTAAGACCTATCAAACCCCTTGGAAAGACTTTATCCTTCCAAATCTAACATTCTAATCAAGTTGGCTTCCTCTCAGATGCTGACTGTATGAATGTGATTACTGTCCACTTAGGTCATTTTTTGCTTGAATAGACTATAGTGAATCAAAAGATGAAGATTGCACATTATATATATATATATATATATATGTATGTATGTATGTATATACTAATATAAAGAAAAGCAGAAAAAGCCAATGTCCTCCAGGGCAGGACACATACTTAAAAAAGTTAAAACTCGCAAGGTACCATATCCAACATGATGTTCTTATCTCTCCCCCTCTATCTTCTCTCCTTCCTTCTTCTTTTTTTTTTTTTTTTTTTGTGAAAATATGATCAATCAAATAACTACAACATAACAAAATATTGAATACTCAACTTGGTTTCATAAATTCTTTCTCCTCATTTAACCATCTAAAAATGTACTCTTTTCAGTAATCAACTATACTGTTTCTTCTCACTACCTTCACCAATGCTCATTTCAATTACCTCTTTTCCTAGTACAACTTAAATTTCTTTACTCTTCTTTTTTGAGAATTTATTGGACTTCATTGCATGGTAGCATACCATCTTAATTTTAATCAATTAAACGTGATTTAATTTATATGGCATTTTTAATAATTCCATTTTATTTCAAGTGAGCCAAATTGTGTTCCTTGAAACTTGTTAGAATAAGGCCATTTTAGGGTTAAAAATAACATGGTGATTAAAGCAATTGCCAATTTTTGTGCATTCAGTAGGAATTTGAATGACATAAAAATAGATAATAGATGGATTCATCTCCAAAATTGGCCCATTTAGATCTAAATGAATGAATTTGTTGAAGTGGTTCTCTTCTACGGCTATAGGGAATCACATGCAAGTTTGGTGCAAAAGGGTTAACAGGAGGATTGCAGCATTCCAAATTACTTCAAATGGAGAGACCAAAAATATGAACAAGGATACATTTGAGTGAAGAAAGTAGATGTGTATATATTGATACATCACAGGTTCCCTTCCTTTGAAAAACAACACTATGGAAAACAGCAGAAGGAACATTAACTGATGAGGGACCATGATAATAATAAATAACTGCAGAACATGATTTCAGATATTATATTATCAAAAGAACAAAACATGATACCTGCCAATTGCTCAGAATACGTAAAATGAATTACTTCATATAAAGGATAAACATTAAGGGCACACGAAAACATCGACAATATGGAAGGAAAAAGTTTGCGGATTTACAGAGTGGTGCTTTTAGTTGATGACAAAAACCCTTCAAAACCTTTCAATACATTGCCACACTGGCTTGGATCCTGCAAATAACTTGTTTCCATATCGTAGACCTGGAATTCAAATGAAATGTTAGGCTCCAAAGGGAAATAATAAAGAGCTTCAAAATTATAAAGATATAGTTCGATGTTCCATTTTAACCAATTTTCTATTGCTAATTTGGCAATCACATTAGTTTTTAATCTTTGAAAGTACATACATACTACGAGATATGTCTTTACAATTTCATAGAAACTGGACAACATTAAATCGATTGAACATGATAACAATAAAGAAGGTAACTCCATCCGTAATGCAAGATATACTACTTGGATTTATTCCTATATCCTCTTTATTTTCCATTTCATAATCTGCTTCTTTATCCTACTTTCCCTCAAACACTAGAAAATTTTGGATAACTATTCATAAGTAGATGCTGACAGAAATAGATTTAACACTATGGGTAGAAGTTCCATGATAACAATCATAGAGAAAGGAATAAGACTATAATGTGCCAATGATGAAGAAGAAAATGGGGATGCCACTAAAGGCACCAAGAACCAGGTCACAACAAGCCAAATTCCAAGCTAAGCCCACTATAAGACACTTCAGGGAAAGAAAGGTTCAAGTGCCAAAGTCACTTCAGGGACCAAGTCAAAGTTACTGTGGGCAAAATTCAAGGTAAATCTCATAAAAGACTTAGCCTCAGACTATTGTCTTTCTAATTTTCTGTAGCAGCTCAGCAATAATCTTGGCATGGTGGTGTTGATGATTGCAGCGGATCACTCCATTCCGATATGGTATAAAGAAGTTAAGCTCTCTGAGCAGTTGCACCAAGTTTAAGAATTTGACGTAAAAGTAAAGAAAAATATATTTGTATATTTGATATATTCTGTTAAAGAAAATCCTCTATGTAAATTGTTTTGATGGAACATATAGATAGTGAAAAGCATTTAGCAGAAAGAAGCTTGACAGGGGCAACAGGTGCTGCTGGCCAGTGGAGTAATTTTTATTGTAAACACTTCACAAATTGATCTCTAGGAAAATAAGAAGAAAAAATAATGGATAAGTCTCGGCTTTTTCTCTTGACACATTCTTGTGATTCCTTCCCTAAGAATCATCACTATTCATTTCTTAAGGGAATCAAAGAGTTTTAACTGAAAGTGGATTTCTAAGGTACATGGACTAGAATGTCTCGTGCTGCTTAAAATGGAATGGGGGTATGTTCATTTAGGCAACTCAATTTGAGCATAACAAAGTAATTCAAATGCACTAAGACATTTTTACCTCAAAGAATAGTACTGTGATTCAGAGACATATATACAGTGGATAGTTAATAGGATTCATATAGCGGACCTCATGTAATTGGACCACGAATTTGTTGAGTTGCTGAATTATACTACAAGGGATAATTAATCTAAAAACTTCTAGATAGTGACAAACTAGTCATGAACAACATATCGCCAAGCTCAAAAGACCTCAATTGTATCAGGTTTCAATGTAATAAAACATATGTTGTGCTATGAGAGGGGAAAGGACCCCTAAACTCAATGTTCTAGAACTGTGCTGATTCTGCAAACCATCGATCCAGATTCCATATCACAAGAACACTCGAGTCTTAACACAAAAAGGACATGGAACTAGAAAACTGATTAAGCATGAGCTAAAATTTATTGGATTTTATCCACAACAAAAACTTATCTCTAAATACCCACAACACCACCTTCAATTGAAACTTCTACAAACTTCAACTTGATTTGATTATACATGTGAAGTTGCCTCAACCCCATTTCACAAACAAACACTAGCAGAAAGAAACAACCCAAAATTCTTCACCATGAACACAGTTTTAATTCATTGCTTCATCTTACCAAAATCACACACATTCAAACAATTATTCAGAAACTTTCAGCCCTATTTCTTGAACAATTCATTAATATATGAACCCAAATCCATCAATAAACTAACTTGATAAAATCAACAAGCTTATATTAATATAACAAACAAAATTAACAAAACCCAGAAAATGAAAATGCAAATTATAAATAGAGATTACAAATAGAGATCATCAAAAAGGAAGGAAAGAAAGATGAAGAGATCACTTGTTTTTCAATGCTTCGAAGTTCCTCGTGAAGTTTGGCCCTTTTGCTTAGAAGAGCGGCGAGCATTGCTGATGGGTTCGAAGAAGTTCGTTGCCCTGAAAGAAGCAAAAAGGAGGATCATCGAATTTATGTGTAAAGGGAATTTCAAATTCAGAGACGAAGCAAATGGTGGGGTCGTCCAACGGCTACCTTCTGGTTCCATTGTTTTGCCGCGAAAATTTAAAGTTGATTGATCAGATGTTCGATAAAAATAGCTAGGGCACACTTGTCCCTTCGTGTAAACCCTCTCGATCACGGACTATATATACATATACATATATATAGGTTATTGTTGAAAAAGGCTTCACGTTAGGCAGGAGTTTGACTAGTCATCCGAACCACAGCGATATTTTCTGCTGTCACTAATCAGATTTTGACACATCATCGGTACTTTTCAGTACTTTATTTATTTTTGTTTTGTTTCGGTTTTTTCTTTTTCTTTTTCTTTTTTGTTTTTTTTTTTGTGTGTGTGTTTTTTTTTCCCGGAAAACAACTCAAAGTTCATTTTCATAAATGAATAAATTTCACAATTATAATACCAAAATTCACCAAGTAAAATTCACCATCAGCATCGGAATTCAGTACTTTTCCATTTCCTTGTTGAACCTAAAAGCACAAAAATAAAAATAAAATAAAAGGAAAAGAAAAGAAAAAGAGTTCATATAAAATAATTAGAAAATAAATTTTGGAACTAAATTGTTATTACTAGTATTTTTTTCTTAGTAATTATTAATTTAATCCGAACTATTTGTTGAAGAGCACTGCTATTGTAACCAACACTCGATTAGTTAGGTCAATATCTCACAAAATATGGAGTCGACACTACAACGATTGTCATTAGTTTACGACTATGTGAGACATCTCGTGAGACACCGACAGTAAAGTGTCATCAGTTTTATTATTATTGAATAAAAAATATTAAAACAAAAGGATTTTTCTCGTAATTATATCAACATTTATGATTTGGTAGAATTTTTATATCCATGCGGTGTTTGGTTGCTTGGAAAAACAAGTAGGAAATGTAAGTTTTGGAATTGTATTCTGCCAATCGAATGGCACATGGTAGATTATGGAAGGCCTTATACATTTTACAAACCTTTGGCAAGGGCAAGGGACCAACTGTGAAGAATATTGCCAGTACGTTTTATTATTCATGTCATTTTAAAAAAATAATTCGCACCTGGAGTGATGTTCGTCCTGGGATTTCATAATCATTTGCTCTAAACTTTCTCATACTTGTCAGTCCAAACTTTTATCGTTGTACCATGCGATACTAATAATTGACAAAAATTGATGTTCGTTGTGAGATTTTAGAATTGTTTGTGAATAACTTCCTCACACTTGTTCGTCTGAACTTTTACCATTGCACCGAGCAATTTCTGCTTCGCATCCAACATTATCTTTAATTTAGCTCGAACAAAAGGATGACCAATGATCTGAAATGAACTCTCATCAGTCTTAACAGAAATCTTCAGATATCCTTAAATGTGAAATGGAAATTGAAATGCACTTCATGTTTTATACATAATTACATCTACAGACCTATAATTTCGAATAAAGTCATTTCAGTGAAATTATGAAACTGACTCCATTTATATGTACCAATGTACTCTTAAAAAACTAAATCACAGCAGATTAAAAAGGAAAGGACTGCTAGAATTTCTCCGATTTTGCAAGAACAGATAGAAAACAAAACCTACAAAAATACATAACAAGTAGTAAGAGAAAAAGAAAATCGAACATTACAGCCTCTCCCTTTCAATGGAAAGAAGACTATTCCAGCATTATGCTTAGAAACTACACGAAACGCCTAACTATCTGGAGCTGTCCTGCCATTATAAGAAGGCGGCTGATCTGACTCCCCCACTGTTGCACCATTTGAATCCTCATTCTCACCCGACATGTCCTCCAGGGACCTCCCCTTTGATTCGGGCACCAAGAAGGTAAACAACATGCCCAAGAAGTTGATCACGCCCAATACAATGAGCGCGTTCTTCACCCCAATACCTGCTGGATACCCTGCATCTGCCTTGGCCTTGTCCTGGTTCTGAGCCAGATACAAGAACCCGAAAGCACCAACAATTGCTCCTAACTTCCCTGCTGCAGCAGATATCCCATGGCAAGTGGACCGGAACCTGGCTGGGAAAATCTCAGCTGGCACAACAAATGTTGTGGCATTGGGTCCAAAATTGGCAAAGAAGAAGGTCAGTGAGTATATCGCCACAAATCCAATCCGATTGTCTTTGTGAGTCCAGTGGTGGTAAGGAAAGGCCAGCGCGAACATGAACACTGTCATCATGAAGAATCCCATCAACTGAATAGCAAATCTTCCCATCCTATCGATGAATGCCACTGTGAACCAGTAGCCTGGGACAGTACTGCATAGAGCTATAAGAGTTTGCGCCCTTGCTATCTTATAGACCTCCTGTATGGCATTCATAGTCTTTGCAGGAGGAATCCATCCAATAGCGCTAAAGATGTCCTTTTGGAACAGATTTTGACTGTAAAATGCAATGTCCAGCAAGAACCAAGTGCTTGTCGTTCCAAGCAAGTGAAGCCCATGGCGACTGAAAAATTCTTTGGAGAGCAAACCGAATGAATTGGCTGGCTTCTCAGCTATCTGCTGAACCTTTTGCTGCCCGGCCTCAATGTCAACTTTCAAGATCTTTGACATATCTGCTGCAGCCTGTTTTGCATTCTTCGCGACAAGAGCTGTGTAACGAGCAGTTTCTGGCATCTTCATCCGCCAGTAGTAAGTGAGTGCAGCAGGAATCGCTCCAACCATCACAATTATCCTCCAAACATAATCTGCTTGCGGGACAGTTGAGCCAATGGGGTCAACTGCATATGCTGGAGCTTTAAACCTGGCCTCAAATGCAGACGATATTATAATGGCAAATATGCCACCTGCTAAAATTCCGAACCCTTGCATAGCAAACACAGCAGCGATGAAGGCACCGCGAGTCTTCTTGTTTGCATATTCAGACATGATGGTGGCAGAGAGAGGATAGTCACCCCCAATGCCAAATCCAAGCCAGAACCGAAAGAAGCAAAGGGTGGACATGACTGCTTTTGCATCCTTCCCGAAAGAAAGGCCTGAAGCAACCGAGCAAAGACACATGAGCATGAGAGTCATGCCATAGACTCGCTTCCTGCCCATTTTATCACCAAGCCAGCCAAAGAAGAGTTGCCCCGTAAGAGTTCCACAGAAAGCTACGCCATTGACAGCAGCTGATACATTGGGAGGTAAAGAGCCAGGTTTATCTGCACCTTCAACATGGTAGTATATGCGACCGAGCAATTTGGTGACCAAGGATACGCAGAAGAGATCATATGCATCGGTAAAGAAACCCATGCCGGCAATAATGATTGCAGTGAAATGATACCATTGTGTCTTTGCCACATCGAGTGCATTAAGCACCTGCAATTGTTCGCCGGCCATGGCTAGCTATCTTTTTTAATAGCTCACTCCCTTACTCACCTACTTCTTTCTTGGAGTTTTTTCTGCAAGAATTGAAAAAAGAGTGATAAGAATGTGTGTCATTACCAAATAATGAGAACTGATTATCAAATATCAAGGTTTGACTCCTTATGAATGGTGACACTGAATTGAATTAAAAATAAGCATTCCTTTTGCAATAAAGTAAAATAACCTTACCACAACTCAATAGTGTTTAAATTCAATTCCACTAAAAAAGAAAATCACAAGATAAGAAAAAGAGTGTGTAGGAGTCAACAATATCAACAATTTGACATGAAAAAAGAGCCAGTGTTATTCAAATTTCTAAAAAGGATGATTTATTCCCTCCAAATACATAATACTCGAAAAAGTCCTCTAATTATTCAGAAAAGCAAAAACTACATCACTATATGAAAATAGGAAAAAATAAAAAAATAAAAAAAAATAAAAACATTAGTAAAAGCATACAGAAAAGATTAATGAACCCTTTTCCTAATATTTAAATGGGAAAAAAAGCCCCATTTGGATGTCCAATGTGGAGTGAGTGACTTCATTTTATTCTAACCACATTTTTGTATCTCACTACCTCACATAAGCAAAAAATAGATTACCATGACCAGAAATTCATATACAGAAAATTAAAAACATGAATAGAAGAGCCTCATATTTTCGTAAAAATGATTAAAAAGAAAGAACCCGAGTAAGAAATCAAACAATGTATTTATATGTAAATGAATTAATAAGAATTCAAAGTGAAAAATACAAGGCATTTACAAGAACAATACCACTAGAAATCATTAAAAATCTAAACCAACACACCTTTTACACCTACCAATATTGGGGAATTAAAATAAAATTATCAAGCTGATCGTTGTATCATAATTATTGAGGTTGAATTAAAATCAAAACCGAACTCATGTTATGAGATAATTTAAATTGCTAGTAAGAAACAAACTGGTTTACAACCAACCATCCTCATATAGAGACATGTAATGGCAAAGATCTATGTTACAAACAACAGCTTCATTAAAGCAAGATTTAAACCTTTTAGAGCACTAATACAGTCACACACTCCTCAGGAGAACAAGATATGGCTGTTGAACCGGCAATAATTTCGGCAATATTAGCATCTACCAAACAAAGTTTTAGTTCATACTAGTGTTAAATTACAAAATAGAGGAAAATAGTTATGTTAAGGGAAAAAAATTACAAAGATAGAATAAAAAAATACCTTCAGAATGACATATATACAGACAAAATTGAAAAGATAAGGAAGTGAAATTGTACCTTTCAATCTTGAAAAAGAAAAGAAAAAAGGGTTTCAATCATTTAATATTGCACTGATTTTTACCATATGACTCGTTTATAGATGGGACACAATCAAAGATATAATAAAGAAAACTCATAGAAAAGCTCTAAGTTGTCGCTAATGTAAAAGAAGGCATCCTTTGCATGCAAGAAGGAAAAAAAAAAAAAACAAAGGTGGAATGATGAGATACCTTAAAAAATTACTATGATATTAAACTACCAACTTCAATCTTGAAACTGAGTAAAAGGGTTTCATTTATTATTTTTTTCTTTTTGAAAGTTCAAGTAAACGCACACCGTCACAAGGCTCAAAAAGGACTCAGAGTACTCAATCTATCCTACACCTGAGCTAATGCCCTCAAGGTAAAAGGTTTCATTAACTATTAGCCTAATAGTATAACCTCTCGTCCCTTAAAAGACGTAATGAGCAATTTGTGAAATGTGTGTTTAACTACTCACCTAACCACAGAAAAAAAAGGGTTTTTGATTTAGTTAAGACAAAAATTGAGATCTATCTTATGATCTGATCACAGAGGTGACAAAATCAATAATTAGATACAAAAATTACTATGATATTGAACTACCAACTTTAATCTTGAAACAGAGTAAAAGGGTTTCATCAATTTTTTTTTTTTTTTTTTTTTTTTTTGAAAAGTTCAAACAAACACGCACCCAACCACGTGCAAGGCTCGAATGGGACTCCAACACTCAATCTCTCCTTGAAAAGAACATGCCATCTGACCAGTGCCCATCAAGGTAAAAGGGGTTTCATTTAACCAATGAGTAATTAGCACAATGGTATACTAGTATAACCTTTTTTTTTTTTTTTTTGGGGGCGTTGTGTTAGGGTTTTGGTAGAATCCTGTTCCTATCGAACTTGTTGGCATCTTGGTTTGGGGGTTTTATTGTTGATGTCTCGTAACAGTTAGACTTAGGGCTGTCCATTTTGTTGTTGTCTTGCTTCTTATGGGGTTAGGATTCCATCGGGGTATTTTTCTTCTTCTTCTTCTCTTTTTCTTTCTTTTCTTGTTTTTTTTTTTTTTCGAGTTCTCACAGGAGAGTTGAGGGGTTCGAATCTGAGGTGATCAATTTGTAAAATGTATGTAAGTACTTACCTAATAAAATAAAAAATAAAAAAGCGAGTTTTGATTTAGTGTTGACAAAAATTGAGATCTATCTTATGATTCATTCACATAGGCAACAAAATTAATTATTAGATACAAAAATTTCAAAGAAAAGTTATACAACGATTCCAACAATGTAGAGAACACCACCTTTGCATGCAACAATACAAATTACAAAAAGAATGTGTGTGTGTGTGTGAGAGAGAGAGAGAGAGACAGAGTGTTGTGGGTGTGTGTGAAAGAAAGATTCTTTAAAAAGGAGAATAATGAGTTTTGATAAAGAATAATAGAAACAATAACAATGGAAAAGACAGAGACAATTGGTATTAAAAATGAAAAAGACACAGACAAATGAGTTTGTGACTACTGACCTGTTTGTTTGTATGGTTTTTTAGAATATGAGTAGGAGAGAGAGGGAAAGCTGGTTTGAGATGAAAGTTGGGTTTTGGAGAGGGTTGAGGATTTATATGCAACGGAGAGAACCAAGAAAGGGGCATCTGCGGGTATATTCCCCCCTTTTTCTCGCATCTGTGGAATTAACAGCAGAGTTTTCGAATCTGAGTCAAGCTGTCAACGCGTCTGGCATGGTTCATTTGTGGATTAATTGGTAAGGGCAATCTCGTCATTTTACAAATTAATTGGTTGGGATGGAAGTATCCAATTTGATCTGTAATACAGCATTAGAAAAATAAATAAATAAAATACAGCATGAGTGGAAATTAATTTATTTATTTTGATTAAAGAGAAAAAAGAAAGAAAATGGAAGTGTTAATCAATTTTGGAGTGAGAACTGAAATATATATATATATATATAGTTGTACGGCAACTTTAAGTCCATGTATGATTTGAGCCTTATTAAAAGTGGGGCCTCGAATTAAATGATGCATGTGATTTATGATAATTAAGCCGGTTTGAAAATTACATGTGGCTAAGGGGTGAATTAATTATTTGTTATTAGAATGGAATTTTTTTGTATTAAATTTGTCACTTTATGGTTTTACATTTAAATGAAATGAGTAGTAATTTGATTTTGTCAAATAAATTTAAGGATTCAGTCAAAAAAAAAAAAAATTTAATTTAAGGATAAAATCAGTATTATTAAATTTTCATTAAATTTGGTATTCCTCATATTTCCTTCCTTCTTAAGAGGGCAGCAGAATAGGCGTTAGTGAATCCCTCGTTTTCCCTCCAATTTCCTTATGGAGTATGAGAATAATTTTAAAGAATAAGTATATCCTTTTTCTTTAGTTACCATTTAAGCACATGCAAATTCCCAGATTGAATTTGAACCCTGCGATTCAGTCGAGTACAAATTTCCTTAATTTGACTATAACAACATTTGATAAGTCGAAACAATTTTATCATAGAATCAAAGTTTTTCTTTGTCGGTAAGGTTCTATTATGTTGTCGGGTCGACCAATTTTCTAAGTACATTCTGGAGGCTTTATGCCAAAGTCTGCCCTTTTTTATTAGGGTATTACAAAAAATATATATATAAAAATAAAAATAATTTATTACAGAAATTTTTTGATTACTTATCCGTAAAACAATGTTTAAATTTTTTCTCAATTACTTAAGATCAACTACATGAAATATCAAATATGGCACACGATGATCAATCCTATACATTGTTTGTGGGCTAATTATGTCACAACTACGAGCAGCCTATGCATGTACCAACCTTTCTTTTTTCTTCACATTTGTTTCATTGATTTGGCAAACCACAAATATTCCGTGATGAAAAATGTTACATAGTAGTTTACAATAATGAATCTGAATCCCTTTATGTGGAGGAATACCTAAACCGCTCACGATATTGTATATGATTAGTACAACACATTACATCGTACAACATATGAATAAGCAATATGAATTGTTACATAAACTAGACATGTAGAATAAAATGATATAAAAAAAAATCCGAGTTTGGAGTTCTTACAATAATATCTCCTATCAAAGGTTGAGAATAATTTTTCCAATAAAAGCCATTCATTGATGCTTTCGCGGTAGCTAGAGATTAAATAATTAAAGAAAATGATTAGTAAGACTATCATTTCAATCGGAACATCCCAGCCATAGAATGCATTGGACCCACTTGAATGTATCCTATGGTTGGGATTAGTGGCGAAGGCAGCATGTGCCCGAGGGGCAACTGCCCCCTGCCCATGATGCCCCATTATAATTTTTTTTTATCCATAAATTTGTAAATATTGATAAAATGTCCTCCCTGAAATTATTAAAATGGTCCCTCTGTTCCTGAATTTACTAAATTTTATTTTATTTTATGCGTATAATTTGTAAATATTTATAAAACACTCCCATAAAATTTATAAATTATTCCCATAAAATTATCTATTTCTAAAAACGTCTTTAATTCTTTATTCCTTTTCCTTCTTATTCTTCAAATTTCTTTTTGTCATCTTAAAAAACTTTTGTATTCTATAAAACACTCTCATAAAATTTATAAATTATTCCCATAAAATTATCTATTTCTAAAAACGTCTTTAATTCTTTATTCTTTTTCCTTCTTATTCTTCAAATTTCTTTTTGTCATCTTCAAAAACTTTTGTATTCTCTTTCTACAATTAAAATCTATTTTTTCCATCAAAATTTTCTCATATTTTTTCTTTTTATTTCATTTTCTTCTTAAAAAATTCATTTTCTTCTTAAAAATTTCTTTTTTCTTGCACTCATGCATAATTTATGTGCAATAACTTTATTTTTCTTTTTTATCTTTTTATTCACTTATTTTAATGCACTTTTGTTACACTATTATATTTTTGGCCTGTTTGAAAAAAAATTATTTTGTCAGTGTTAATATGCCCTCCTGAATCAGATTCCTGACTCTGTCCCTAGCTGGATGCATTCTGCCAGCACCATTCAATAATTAATTAATTATGCTAATGTAGTAACAATAACAAAATGTCAAATTTCTAATGGTACTCGTCTTTTTGGTCGGAATCATATCATACCACATATTAGTTGTAAAGAACAGGTTCTTCCTAGGTGAGTACTTTTTAATAAGGTAGTGATAGGGGAGTTCCACTATCGGATATATAAATTCAACTAATTTTATGTGAAAATAAACTAATGTCATAATAACGCCAGGAATATAAAAATATTGTGAGGTTAATTCCCACCTAGCTAAATCAATCAAAATTGTGTGACTTTTGTACTTTATTATGTTTTTAATAATTATATAATAGACAAGAAAAGTGGGAACTATAGTAGCCAACCGTCCCCGCGGTTACGACCTGCATAAAGTTTATTTTTGACTTTATTTTTTACTGTCGCAATATTCCTTTAATCAATAAAATCAAAGTAAGTGCGATCTAGTAGATTTATTTTGACTTTAAATTAATAAATATTTCAAAAAGGATACAGTTCTAATGGATGAGGGCATTCTAGGTTTGTAGTGGAAGAAATTATATCCTTTCTGATAGTGCCACGAAGGTGGTCTCATTCTAAAGCCAATGAATTTCACCAAAAAAAAAAAAATTATCCTACTCTCACAATCCCCACCACTATGATATTGTGTGCATGTGCTTCCATAAATATGTATACACTAGTGCAAGTCCAATCTGAAGGGCCCTGGTTTAAAGTAGAGCTTCCTGGATCTTTCTTTCCTTTTTTTTTTTTTTTGGCTCACCGTGAATCACTAGCCAAACTTTGAAAATCTCTCACTTTTAGTAATATAATATTAGGTAAATTACAGGGATCTCTCCAATAATTTCAGAAATTATTGGAACCTTCCCTAAAAAAGGAACTAGCACCTCTTTTCCTAGTGACAGATTGTCAAGTGCAATAACGAACTTGTCTAATTTACTAAAATGCCCTCATGTTGCTAGCTTAAATTACTAAAATACTAGATGCTTTTGAGTAAGCGTGAAGGGTATCATAGGAATTTTAAGTAATTAAGTATATGACATTAGCAAAAATCGTCATTGACTCGCGTTGATTGTCATAAAAGGGAGGTTCGTGTAGGTTAATTTTATTTTTAGGTGAGGTCTAAGTAATTTTTAAAACCATATAAGAAGTCTCTGTAATTATGACAAAATATAAAAAAATTTCATGTAATTTATCCTATGATATATATATATATATATATATATATATATATGTATAAGTATGTGTATATGTATATATGTGTTTGTTGATCAAAAGTAAGAAAATTAGGATGATTCTTTGAACCTTTCTAACTTACACCCCACCATTTTTGAGTGGGGAACATAACAAAAAGGCTTGTCCAAGATAGTCGCACAACCACCATAACTGCAATGCCTCCCTCTATATTTTCCTTATTTAACAAACAAATTAGTGGGCTCATTTAATTGGGGTTCTTGGAAACTCCCGCAAAAGTGCTTTGTTAAACTTTTGTGCCTATAAAAAGTAGAAGTGGTGTAATTGAAAGTGCTCGATGACTGTATGGTCAATTTTGGTGGGAAAGGGAACTGTTTTTGTCAACAGTGATTATTATTATTATTCAAAAAAAAAAAAAAAAACCTGTTGCCCGCCAACAATGAGATTGGTAATTGAACCAAGGACCACATTTTTTCCTCTTAGATGTGATGCCCCTCTTATCTATATTAAAACAAGAAATATGCTAAATGGACAGTTAAAAGAAACAGAAACAGTGAGCCAAATAGTGAACTGCAAATTAGTTCAGCTCACTGTTTTAGTTTTTTTTATGTCTTAAAAGAATGAGTTATGATGCTACACAAGTCCATCATTTCAATCGAAATGGTGGTCCAAATGCATTCCATGCGTGGGATGCATTAAGGTGGTTGGAAGCAAATTGATTAAACAAATAAACTTAAATATCTTTTTCTTAAAAGAATTTTCTTATTGCAATCTCGCATTCATTATTCATTGTTGATCCATCGAAAAGTGTACTTTCGAGTTTGAATTTGTAGTATCATATTTTTTTTAATCATACTAAATAAGTGGCTCCTAATAAAAAAATGATTGCATCTACTTTGGGAATTGAAAATTTATGGATACAAACATGAATATTCTCTCGTAAGAAAGAGGCATATCCTCTGTGGTTTCAGGTAGGGGTGGAATTTGTGTTCGCGGATTGTAATCGTGTCGTGTCGATTTAAGGGTATTTTACTAAACAGTTCAATCCGAACAAGACTTGTTTAATAATCTTGTCAGGAACCCTCAACCCTAACCCAACCTATTTATTAAACGGATTACACGTGTAACCCGTTTAATGACCTGTTTAATAAAATCAAATATTTTGTTATTTAAATTATTAATAATACTAGATCAAACATTAAATACTAGAAAAATATAAATTTCAATCTAACCAAATTACTAAATAACCTCTAATCTATAAAATAATAAATAAAAAAAATTATAAGATACAAGTTTAAATAGTTATTTTAAAATTTAATTAGAAATTTACTTATTACACATATAGTTACACGGGTTGAACTCCTCAATCCATACAATGACACGTATAGTTAACCAGGTATAAACGGGTACACGGGTTGAAT